TGGGCTCGAGTCTGCTGGGTATTTAGGGCGCGCAGACAGACACCAGACACCAGACACCAGACAGACAGCCATGGCGAAATTGTCACGCCCCTGTGCATGAAAATTATTCTTTTTCTCGTGCGCACATACTCCACACATGATCCCTCCAAACAGCTTTTTTGTTGCAAAACAAAACAAAAAGCGTACCCCTAACGGGCCACACTTTTCACAAAAAAAACTATTACAACTCATTTTTAAGTATTGTAAAAATGCTCGACGTCAACAAACGGTTGCCAGTCGTCTCGGCGATGCTGACTTTTCGTACGACCCCCTTCCTTAGCAAAAAAAGACGCGCAGTTTGGGAATTGCCTCCATTAGCCCCGGGGATGGTGACCTATCGTCCCCTGAATTTTAAGGACACAACCCCGCTCTAAGGACGCTATTCTTCAGGAAAAACCATGAGCGTCCTTAAAGCGGGTTCGACTGTACCATGGTTTGTGGATTTTCCGACTGACCCGCATGTGCGCGTGTCTCATTAGCATCGACCGCGCTTACCGGCTGACCAATGGAAATGCGTCAGTCTTAGTGCGGTTGAAAACACAAAACACTGTTTTTAACGCCGTGAGGGGGCAGCACGGGGGAGGCTAAACTATCCTTCGAATCGAAGATAGAAACAGCAGCAACAGAAGAAAACTGGACACGTCTACCAAGGCTATTGCCATGTACTCTAGTTCGTTTAGGACATTATGTGCGCGGGTGTGTGTGTGTCATGTGTCCATCTGTGCTCCTAAAGGGCCTCCCGGAGCTTGAGCCTCGAGAAACAGCGAACGTGGATAGACTTTCAGTAGTGCAGAATCTCACCGCAGACAAACTTCTTATCGTATAATGTATTATTGTTTTTCTTCACATTAACTCGCGTCAGTTGCTAATCCCAAATCTAGCAACTCGGTCCGTGGTCACAAAAATGCTACAGCCATCAGAAGATCTGAAGAACACACACACTTTTAGCAAGAAAAGGGTACGCAAGCCCGAGGAGGTACACCTGTAATCCCCGCAGCACGTTTGGGTGCTCGCAACTGAACTACACGCCCACACACTTCAAATCGACTTCAGCAGCAGCATCAGCCCCCTTGTCCCGCATTTAACCAAAATGAATGTTTGTCGACTACAGTGTACTGCTGTCTGAAGTGCTGTCTGTACAATAATAACACCATGGTGCATGGTACACAAGCTCGGGGCATGCAGCTGCTGTCTGAAGTGCTGTCAGAATGAGCCCGTGGATATACAATGAAGAAGAACGCCCAACCAAAGCCATCATTGCAATTGACAATCACCCGAATCTATCCAGATCATCTGTGTTAGGCACAGCAGTGTAAACATCGACACTGACTCGGAATCGTTCCACATTGAAGGGGTCTCCCACGATGCAGGTACACAATTAAAGCACCAGGGTTATCCGCGCCATCTCTGCCGTGTCTCTCTACAAAACCAGTGACGTCATCACACACACCCAACACCTGTATTCAGGAAATAAACGGAAAAATAAATGACAATACAAGAGATGTTTGTCCGTGCGCCACGGTTCGATGCCGTCCGCCTGCTCCGGTTCCGCTGCTCCGGTGCCGCTGTTCCGGTGCCGCTGTGGCCAGTCCTAGCACGACCAAACTCGACCCGCTCCGCTTCGTACACGCTCTCGTTGCTGTCCTTCCCAGTCTGTTCCTCGCTTTCTCCCTCGTCGCACATAGGGTTCTCGGTTTGAAGATTCTCGCGTCGAAGGGTCAACCAGCCCAATCAGCTCGTCACCACCTGTCCCCTCCTCCTTTGATGGCAAAACAAGGTTATTGAGACAGTACAGCTCCCTCTGGCAAACCTAGGGCCGTGTACATAGTGCCCGTTCACCTTTCTGATGACGTCTGCCTCCGCGCACGAAGATGAGATGGGCATTGCTGCCTAGACCGACGGCCCGGATGCCCGCGCATCTGCACCTTTGTACCTGACGCACCCGTGCCGACCCAACTCCACCACTACGCACGCCTCGCGGCAGGTGCTCCGCAGCAAGAAGGTATCGGTCCCCTGAGGGTGAGTCTAGCCCTACTCGCTAACAAGACCCCCCCCCTCGCCTTGGGTCATGCCTACGCAAAACCTTGCCGAGGCAGCGAGGGGAAGAAAGGAAGTCAATAGAATATGCTGACTACTGACTGCGGTGAGCGGTCCACAGACTACTCTATATTGCTGTGGTCCACAGTCTGGAAGGAGAAAACAAATTATCACACCAAATCCTATACACAACATCCGCTGGTGAGATGTGCTCTGCTTTCAAGCACTGCCTTGTTGCCTCGCCTTCAGTGGTGATCGGCGAAAGTTTGAGGCACGTTTCACTCATTGCTAACAGGGCTGTGTCTTATGTTGTCGACTTTCGTGCAATACTCTGTACCAAACATGGACGTGCATCCTTCCCATCGTGAATGCTGCGGTACTTACGACCAGTCAGTGGGGGGGGTACAACTGGGGGTATTGATGTAATGATGAGGAAGGGGTGGTTCGGTTGTTCGCGCACGGGGTTGATCTACCAATGAGACATACAACGACGGACGCGTTCTCACAAGCTGACGCAAGCATCAGCACGAAACTCACAGGAGGGGTCCATCGGGCCAGGAGGGACACCTCTTCCAACCCACCCGAAAATCTGTCGTTGCAATTTCGAGAAACATCGACCGGCGAAAACAACTTGCTTTAAGACAGGAAACCGGAGATCGCCTCCTAAAGAACCAAGTGAAACGCAGAAAGTGGGGTAACTTTTTGGTGGGGTCAAAAAAGTGGGGACGTCTTCGAATATAGGTTCTGAGAATATCGGCGACAGAAACTGAATCCTTATCGGGCTTCGAATACTTAAAATGACATGTACAGCAGTCGGGGACGTGTTGAACACAACTACATACAGCACACAAGTTTGAACTTGGCCAACTAATGAACTGCTTCGCTGGCAGCGGAAGAAGGAGGAAAGTCCAAGTAGAAATATATTGATCTCATTTTCGTGAAACACAAAAAAACGAGCGTATCCCACCGAGGAACACCAGTGCATACAACTGTCCCGGCGGAAACCAAGCTACACCGACGGCTTTTCCCTCTACATATCGCGAAGAGTTCCCTGAACCTCCCCCCGCGGCTTGGCTCTACGGCTCTGCTGAGTGTTATGAGTATACGAATGAACGGTGTTCGAAAGAAGGTACTACGTCTCACGGTACTCGCCACCCCTTCCCTTCGCATACAGATAGGATCGAACGTCCTCCAAGCGAGAGATACCCTCGCCGTCGATGGACGAGGTTGTGCACGACTCCGGCCTGCCGTCGCCGTCGCACTCCTCGCTCGGTACGTCCTCGTCCGTTTCGAAGCCGGCGAGATCCCTCCCTACTGCCTGCAATTCCAACTCCACCTCCTCTTCTAACACCTCGGGGTCGTCCCCTACCCCGTAAGCCACGTCTTGACCGTCGTTCGGACTTCCTGCTCTGTGAGGTCTGCGCCCTTCTCGACAAACAAATTGTCCGTCAACACTCGCGGTATGGACCTATAGTCCGTTACGATAGCTGGCATTGACATTTTCGAGACCATGTCACAAAGGCCGTCGATGACTGCCGCGTCGTCCTTGTCTTCTCGGTCAAGCCGCGTGTCCATGCCCTTGAGAACGTTGCAGTCCTCCCTGGGAAGGATGCCAGCCTTGAGCCAGCACCTGATGACCGTCTGAACGTCTAATCTACGCCACTTCTGGGAACAGATCTCCGTGACGTTCAGCATTGTCGCCTGTCCTGCATCGCTGAGGCCGCGGCAACCTCTGCAGAAACGAAACACAGGGACGGATGAAAGATCTTATGTTAAAAACAGCTCCACAAAACAGTTGAAAGAACACCATTTTCAGAGCCTTTGAAAGACCTGCAGCGACGGTAACAAAGAGCGCTCCTTCATGTTTCGATTCACCTTTGGACTTTTCGTGCACGGACGGTGTCCCAGTCCTCGATGAGCTCTGCCAGCCGTGCCACCATCTCGGTCTTGTACTGGCATTTTAGTACAAACAGCATGCCCATGCCCATGGGCATGGGCTGGTCGACAGAGGTGACGTTTGGAGGCAAGAAGATGATGACGATCTGCGGGTCGTTGCTTTTGATCTTGTGGCCGGGGCACTTGTCCCACAACACGGCCACCTTTGACGAAGGGGACAAAAGACTTTGTCAAACCACCGCTGGCAAATGGCTGCGTCGAGCCAGGCACTGTCCTGGGCGAAGTAGGGACATAACGGTTTGCGGACGTGGAGAAAAACTATCGGTTTTTTCGACGTGCTGATCACGGCCAACGGCACCATCAGAGACCCGGTCGTAGTGCAGCAGGCGACCACCGTGCACCGATCCGATCCTTGGCCTTCATGGCCTTCCAACCCCGCGCGGTGTTCGTGTTGCCGCCGGCGGCGGCCTCCCCCCTCTGACATATGTACCTCTCGGGAAGCAGCGGAAGAAAAGTCCCGTCTCATCCATGTTAAAAATGAACTCGACGTCGAACTCCTGCAGCTGCTCAAGAATCCTCTCGATCTCCTCTGCCACCTTCTGCTTGTCCACGTCGCCAACTTCGCCGTGCAATTGGCATGAGTGAAGCTGTAGCGTTTCATGAAGCCATGTAGCCAGCCGCTGGTCGCCTCGGAGTTGGGCCTTCCCCAGCAGCGCCGCGATCTTCAAGGCCTGGGCCTGGATAATCGAACCAGTCACGCATCCTGGTTGCCTGCGTCGGGAAAGACATAAAAAAAAAATCAGCAGCGACATGGTTTCGATCCACTCTCCCTTGAATTACTTGTGCGTTCAGTCGGCCAGCTTGAACCATGTGGACTAGAGGTTGTCGAACCCCCAGCAGCTTGGTCGAGAGTCGGAGGAGGTGTAGGGGCGGAAGGGTGTAGGCGTATAGACAACCAAGTTGTATCCTGACTAACACACGACTAATGCAAAATATGTACTTACGTTAAAGGGTGCTCATGCGATCTTAATCCACTTGCGTAGTTTCTCCTCCACTTCGTCGTGTACCGGCTTCGGGGCGCGAAGGGCGTCCGGGTTGAGCTCCATGTCTCGGACTTTCTCAAGCTCAGCGACTTTCTCCGGCTTCGTCAACTTGCTGATGTACGAAGTACCGACGTTCCACTTTGCAGCAACCATGCTCCTCTTAGCCCCCCCCCTGGACCTCCTTGACAATCTGCAATCGCTGCGTCATCGATAACTTCTTTTTGACGGCGTCCCGTCCGGGCGTGGACACCCGGACTTTTTTGGCGACACTACCTGTGCCGTCCCCCGCGGCACCTCCGCCGCCCTCCCCCCGGCGCCTCCGCCGCCCAGCCCCGCGGCACTTGCGCCGTCCCCCCCCGCGGTGCGTTGAGGCCGTTTCCCCTTCCTTGCAGTCTCTTGACTCTTTGCCCCCGGCCGGTTGCCTCGTCCTGCACGACAAATTTTGCAAGCGACGAGGTAATTGTGACATGTCAGGGCAGGTTGTTGGCAAATACACCCACGTGAGAAAAAATGCCGTTGTGCCCAACACAACATGCGCGTGTTTTCCGGAGAACGGCATTTCTCGCACCTACCGCCAAGAGACTGCACGCAGGCCAGCAGCTTCAATTTACGTTGAATTAAAAACAAGACAACATAATATCACGACTGCGTCTACTTTGTATGTTTTTCAAGTGCGAACCGTATACACCAGACTCCTGAACGTACAAAAGTTCACTTTTTATCAGCGTTGAACAACGAGAATCACTTCGGCAGCGCGGCATGCGCACTGCTTCAGGCGCAAGTTGCGTGCCGAAAGATGCACGGCGGTAGCGAGAGTCTCCACTTGGTTGTTGACGCTCACTACAATTGTACACACACCGTCAATTTCTTCCACAGTCAAAAACGTCGACCCGCAACTGGCGAAAGCATTTTGCAAACACTTCCAACATGTCGTCATCCTCTTCGTGCTAGCATTTGGAGCTGTACACATGGATCAGCAGAAGTCAGATGCCTCAGATCTGTCTCCCCTTGCAGCGGAAAGATATGAAGCAGCACGTGTTGAAAGACAACTCCAACTTGTCGGAGCAACAAAGTTGCTTCATCTTACCCCAGCATTGCATGCATCGACCGATGAAAGGATGAACAGGGTATCCCGATTTAACCGCTTTGCAAATGGTGATCTGAGTGAACCTATCGCCTGGCTCATGATTTTCGAGAAGAATCGTCGATCAGTATTACACGGATACTCAAGACAATCGCCAAAGAAGAGCCACAAGACTCGCGCATGAACGGGGAGGCATCACTAAAGCTGCCAGTGCCTTAATCTCCCCAGCACCCTCACCGCGCAACAACGACACGCTGGATCATCTTCGCAACCTACACCCTAACGAAGATCCCGACGATATTGCTACTGCGTGGGATTCCAGCATCAAAGCTGCGGGAGATCGTATAAAAACGCACAACATAGACTCCGTCGCCGAAGCTGATAAACCATTCGAAATCAGGTTCATCAAGCAGACGGTCAACAGAGCCAACCCTCGGAGTTCTCCGGGGCCTGATGGTCTCCGTTTTTCGTATCTCCAAGCTGGTGGAATGAGTGATTTTTACTGAAACCTTGGCGGACTTCTGCTTTCAAGTCTTACGACTACGGAGACGAGCTTCCGGATTTCGTTTTAAACCTCCACACCAGTGCCAACCTTTGAGCGCTGGGAGAGAAAAAAAGGCCGATTGCAGTTGGAGGGGATTTGCGTCGCATCATCAGCGGCAGCTTCTGCCGCCAGTACAAGGGAGGGATTGCTAACATCTTCGAAGCAGCAAACAAGTTCCGAGGTGGTGTTCCAGGAGGAGTTGAGATAGTGGCCTCCACAGCAGCCCTCAGCCACCAGCAAGGCAGCACCATTCTTTCCTTTGATGGGAAAAATACGTAAAACAGCATTCGCAGATCTTACATCTNGCATCATCAGCGGCAGCTTCTGCCGCCAGTACAAGGGAGGAATTGCGAACATCTTCGAAGCAGCAAATCAGTTCGGAGGTGGTGTTCCAGGAGGAGTTGAAATAGTGGCTTCCACAGCAGCCCTCAGCCACCAGCAAGGCAGCACCATTCTTTCCTTTGATGGGAAAAATACGTAAAACAGCATTCGCAGATCTTACATCTTGCCAGCAGTGGCCACTCATACCCCACACTTGATGAAGTACTTCGGGAACATCTACGCTCGAAACAAGGCGAATCTTCTGTTCAAGATGGAAGATGGTTCGATCGAGGTTGTTCTTTCACAGCCCGGAGTTCAACAAGGCTGTCATTTGGGAGGGTTCGGCTTCTGTGTAGGACTCCTTGATATCATGAAAGAGTTCAACGACAAGCCACCTGTGCCAGGAGTCAACCTCATCGAATACGTCGAGACCTCCAAGCACATCTTCCACCAGGTTTGGCTAGGAACATGCAGGCCATATCCACTGTAACGAATTGGATTCAGGAACGTCTCTCCCAAAAAGGCATTGAGCTCAGTCTCCCGAAANAAACTCATCGGATACGTCGACGACCTCCAAGCACATCTTCCACCAGGTTTGGCTAGGAACATGCAGGCCATATCCACTGTAACGAAATGGATTCAGGAACGTCTCTCCCAAAAAGGGATTGAGTTCAAGTCTCCCGAAATCCAAAGTGCTTTTCCCGCAAGGTCTTTGCTTGTCCTCTTTGACAAACGAACGAACAGCAACAGTTGACAATTGGTCTTGTCGGTTGCTCAAGGTGGCATCCCAGTAGTCGGGATCCCAGTAGGGACAGAATAGTTCCAGATAAATTTCGTTTCCAAATTCGCCAGTGGTGACCCGGCGAAATTGATACTCCGCCTAGTAACGCTTGACGACCCTCAAGCCAGCTATCAACTGCTGCGTTTGTCTGGTGTGCCACGTCTGTTTGATCTGCTGAGGACGATTGCACCGTCTATCACCAACTCTGCCGCCAGAAAGCATGACAACATGATGATGTGGGCAATGAGTAAGATCGTCCTTGGCAAGATGGCCGACAGCATGAGAATACCAACGGTCAAAGAGGTACGCGCAGACCCGACGAAGAGCGAGGAGGTAGATTTCTTCAAAGGGACAGCTCGGGCGCAGGTGCACCTACCCATG